GGAGGCGGAGAGACTTCCTCCGCACCGTCCGTACGACTGCGCTATTGACTTGATCCCGGGCACCCCGATTCCGCGTGGGCGACTGTATTCTCTCTCGGAACCAGAGCTGGCGGCTCTCCGGGATTTCCTGGATACTAACCTACGCAAGGGGTTCATTCGTCCCTCGCAGTCGCCGGCTGGGGCCCCAGTTTTGTTTGTCAAGAAAAAGTCAGGGGAGTTGCGACTCTGCAATGACTATCGGGCGTTGAACAACATCACGATCAAGAACCGTTATCCGCTTCCCCTCATCCCGGAGCTTCTCGACCGTTTGCGAGGGGCCCGGATTTTCACCAAATTGGACCTCAGGGGGGCCTATAACTTGGTGCGTATCCGGGAAGGGGACGAGTGGAAGACAGCCTTCCAGACCCGCTTTGGGAGCTTCGAATACAGAGTCATGAGTTTCGGGCTCTGTAACGCTCCGGCCACGTTCCAGCACTTCGTCAACGACATCTTTCGCGACTTTTTGGACCGTTTTTTGGTCATTTACCTAGACGACTTCCTGATCTACTCCACGAATCCACGTGACCACGCGCAACAGGTGCGCGCAGTGCTCCAGCGCCTGAGGGATCATGGACTTTACGCTAAGCTGGAAAAGTGTGCCTTCGATCTAGATGAAGTAGACTTTCTGGGACACCGCATCTCTGCGAAGGGAATTTCCATGGACCCCACTAAAGTCTCCGCGGTGTTAGAATGGAAGTCCCCCATGAGCAGAAAGGACATCCAAAGATTCATGGGGTTTGCCAATTACTATCGCAAGTTCATCCCAGACTTTGCCCGCTGGGCGGACCCCATTACCCAATGCCTGAGAGGCAAACGGCCGTTTCTATGGACTGAGGCGGCTGAAAAAGGCTTTCAGCAGCTCAAGAAGCTTTTCACTTCCCAGCCTATCCTGCAACATCCTGATCCAACCAAGCTATTTGTGGTGCAGGCCGACGCGTCGGATGTGGCGGTCGGGGCAGTGTTGCTACAACCTGCGGGGGATCATCTCCAGCCCTGTGCATACTTTTCTCGACAGTTGACTGCCCCAGAACGGAACTACACCATTTGGGAAAAAGAACTCCTAGCCATCAAGTCGGCGTTTGAGACTTGGAGACATTGGCTAGAGGGTGCTTCGCAACCAGTGGAAGTTCATACGGATCATCGCAATCTGGAATATCTCCGTACGTCCCGGAAGTTGAACCAACGACAACAGCGTTGGGCGTTGTTTTTTGAGAGATTCAACTTCCGAATTTGCTACGTGCCGGCAGCCCAAAACAAACAA